TTGCTGGGCCTGTGGGAAACTGAGGCAGGATCTGCTTTTCACATTCCCAGGTGGAATTTTTTAGGGAGCTTGGAGTCACCGAGGTGTGCAGGATCTGCATGTCTGGAGTTCAGTAAGACAAGATCACCCAGAATGTCCGGGTGAACCCTGAGGATGTTTTGCCTCTTGAGGGATATTCCAGCTTTTCACCTGGAGCAGGGAGGTGCAGGACCATGGAGGGGCCACAGGTGATCCCAAATCCTGGCTCTGCTTCTTCAGGAGACTTGGAATCACCTCCACAGGTCCCTTTCGGCTTGAAAAGTTGGGCTTGAGGAGGACTAGGACTTCTCCAGGATGACCAGGATGGGAATCCTGGAATATCGGAGACATTTCGGTTGGGATTAATCATCCCTGAAGTGCGGAATGCCATGGGTGTTGTTGGTGATCCAGGAATAGAATTCCAACCCCTGCTCCATGCTCTGATCTCTGGGAAGAACATCTCTGCTCAGGCAGCCTGAGAGGAAATTATGGGAATCTTCTCCTTGCTTGGAAGTTGATTTTTCCATAGCTCAGCCTCTCAGGTCCCACCTCATTTGCTCCAGGGGTGGAAAAGCAGGAAACCCTTTGGGACTGACAAATGTTGTCCCCAAATTGCTGTTCCTGAAAAGGCGCCACAAATCTCAGTTCTCCTGGATAAATGGCACGTGCTGACTGCAAATTGTGGGTTCCCAATCCCTGGAAGTGCCCAAGGCCAGGCTGGATGGGGCTTGGAGCAGCCTGGGATAGTGGAAAACCTCCTTGCCCAGGGAATGGGATGAGCCTTAAGGTCCCTTCCAACCCAAACCGTTCCAGAATTGCAAAGCTTTCCCTCTTCCCTTCTTTCTCCTGCGCTCCCTTTCCCCTTCCCAGCGATTCCCTGGCGCTCTCCCAGCAGATCCCAGCCCTCCATCCCAACAAATCCCTTTGCTTGGAGCTGCTTTTTGAGCTGCTGCCAGGGAAGTGGCACAGCAAGGACCCCGTTATTCCCCAAAATGAAGCCCATAAACGGGGATGACCGGGACCTCCCAGGGGACATTTGGGATTTGCTTTCGTGGCTGGGACATCAGCCAGGGAATGGCAATTCCAGAGGACATCCTCGTCCTACCCCACAGGCTCCGGAGGGGCAAGGAAAGGGAGGAAAACTGATCCAAATGGATTTAACAGCCTCAGGATAAAGCTTTTGTGTCCTCCTTCCCTTTGGCATTTCTGCTTTCTCCGGGCAAGGAGAGAATAGCGACATTCCCAGATATTTTCCCCACGAGGAACTTTTATTTTCCAGCAAAACCCAGCAGTGGGAAGAGAGAAGGGGACGACTGAGCAAGAGGAGCAGGTGGGATTTGATTGGAAAACCGGGAAGCCCTGGGAGGAGCCTCCATCCCTTCCAGGTGCTCCTGGGATTTTGGGAACAGAGGGGGAAAACATCCCTCGGGATAAAACTATTCCTTGGACAAACTGCATGCCAAGGAACTCAGTGCAGGAATTTCTGCCGAGGAAATTTAGGGAAAGCTGATTTAAAGGGATTTGCTGGCAGTTTTTCGAGGGATTAAGTCAGCTGGGACAGGATAACCTCGACCTCTTCCTCCAAAACAGCTGGATTTGGGAGCTGGGCGCATCTGGGACAATTTCTGCCTTCCCTTGGATCCTCCTCTTGCTCCCAGAATTCCCATCAGCAAAAATTCCTCCTCAAAAATCTTCTCAGTGCTCCTGAGTGGCCAATTAATGGGAAAAAAGAGGGTGGGGGGGAAAGAAATCCCAAAAAAAGGCTGATCCAATTTATTTCAGGTGCTGGTTTGAGGAAGAAGTAAGTCCCAGCTGCTCTGGGCAGGAAAAGACCATAGGAAAAGCCCTGAGGGAATAGCTCAGGTTGGTAAATCCCATCCTGGATATTCCCAGTTTTCCATCAAGGCAGGGATTATTGGGAAAAATATATCCTGTATTTATTCCTTTCTGTTGGAGAAAGGGTTTTACCAGGATGAGGGATTTTAGTGGGGGGGATAAAAAGGTGAAGGCATGTGGGAATTTGGTAAAAGAGGAGGGAGTTGTTGAATATGGGAATCTTGAGGAGGTTTTGGCACTGGAATTCACTGGGATGAAAAATTCCCAGTGCCTTTTATCTCCTTTTTCATTGTCCTGAGCAGAATGTGCAGGGAGTTCATGGAATAAACAGAGAAAATTCTGGAATTAATGTGGATTTTGGCATTCTCAGTATGGCACAGGTGGCCTTAAAAAGAGAGGAAATCCGTGGATATTGATGAAAATATCCCTTTTTAGGCAATTTTCCGTCTTAGCCTAATTCCAGGAGGCACCAGTTTAGGAAAAGAGGCGACACTTGAGGCTGGCACCTCCCAGCCTTGGGGCAGTTTAGGATATTCCTGCCCCCAGAATTTGCATCCAGGCTCCGGATTTTCCCAGCTCCTGCTGGATTTGGGCTTTGTTCATTTGTCTGATCCTGGTTGGGATTTGCTGGGATTTTTCAGTCCTTGTTCTTTTCATCCGAGTCTCAAATCCTGCAAATTAGGGATTAATTTCCCTCCTCTCTCCATCCCCTATGGACATCTCATCCTGGGACCTCCATCCCTGGTTTTGTCCCACCCAAAGGGATTTGAATCCCCTCCAAAGCAGCGCCTGCTCCATTCCCAGCAATTCCCACTCATTCCCAAATCCTGAAGCCCCACCTGGGCACTCCAGGAAGTGAAGCTGCTTCTTTTGCTGCCTGGGAATCTCCAGATTCCCAAAAATTGGCACAAATGGTTTAAGCAAGCCCGTCCCCCGGCATTTTTTTTTTGGATCAGGTGTTGAGATTGTTTTCCCAAGGGAAAGCTTTGCCTGGCCAGAGCCAAACATGCCTTGGATCAGGAAGTTATCACAAGGAAAATATTCCATGGATTCCTTTCACCTTGGACAGCTAGGCTGGGAAGAGGAGCAGGGGATTTAATTTTGCCTTAAAATCAGGAGATCCAGAGCAGGAAAATCCAAGGAAAATCAGGAAAATGTGCAGTTAGGGAATTGAAATTCCTCCCACAGCTGGAAGATCCAAATGTGCTCCAGGTTTTTGAGCTCTGGGTGTTTGTGCTCTTCCACCTGCTGTCCCTTGATCCCAAATCTGAGAATTCCAGGGTCATCCCAAATCCCTGGGGCTCTTTCAGCCCCACAGAGGCACAGAAATGTCCCCACAAGGGGTTGGGACAGAGGGAATGCCAAGTTCCAAATTCCCAGCCTGGTTTTCCCTGGATTTTTCATGGGATTTATCCAGCACCATTCCACAGTCTTCCCAAAAGCTTTTAAGAACTGATGTCTTCAAACACAAGGATTTTGCGAAAAATCTCTGGTTTAATCCATAAATTTATTTACATTCACATTTCCACCCCTTTGACCAGGGGGAAACCCACAAAGTCAGGTCCTAAATAGATTTTTTTTTATCATCTGAACCATTTTTTGGGAGGAGAGGAGGGAATGTGGGGTCAGTTTTGGTGGATTTTTTTTAAGGATAGAGCAGATTTAGGAAATTAAACCTGAGCTGGGCTCGGAGCTCTGTCTCTGCCCAACTCCAGGCCCAGCCCTCGGTGATTTTTCCCTTTTATTTCTGGGAATGAAAATGTGTTTTCTGCGCATCCCTCCAAGCACAGCCAGAGCAGCCGAGGACTGAGCGTGCTTGGGATGAATCCCTTGGAATTCCTGAGGTCCCATCCCTCTAAATCCAGCCTAACTCCTCCAGCTTTGTCGGAATCGCTCTGGCTTTGTACAGATCCGAGCTGACCCCGAGCTTTTCTGTTCCCAATCCAAGCTGCAGCGAGGGATGGTGCCTTCAATGTGGACAGGCCAAACATCTGGGAAGGGCTGGAACCGTTCCCATTAACGTGGACGCGGTTTGGAAGCGACTCCCGCTTGTGAAGGGTTTTCAGCCTGGATTCGTTCCAAGGACACGAAAAGCCAACTCCTGTTTTACTCCCGGCCCCTTATCAGATTGAACCGCACGGCTGCGCGTTCGTTGCCCCCGTTGCTCTCCCTGGGAGCCCACTGGGAACTCGAATCCCGGCTGATGTGGGAGCTGGGATTCATTAACCCTCGTTATGGCATTTGGAGGGAGTTTGTGTCGGGAGTTAATTGGCCCTCAGCTGGTTCCTGTTACTGCCTTGGCAAAGGGGATGAGCTGGAAACGGGGGAAGGAACCTGGATTTGGGATAGGGGTGGCTTGGGGAGTGCAGGGAAAGCATGGAATGGGTTGGTTGGGAGGGATCTTAAGGATTATCCCAATCCCATCCCATTCCATGGGTAGGGAAACCTTCCACTATTCCAGGGTGCTCCAGCCTGGCCTTGAACATTCCATGGATCTGGGGGCAGCCACAGCTGCTCTGGGAATTCCAGCCCAGCCAGGAATTCCCAATTCCCAATCTCCCACCCATCGCTGCCCTCTGGCAGTGGGAGCCATTCCCTGTGTCCTGTCCCTCCATCCTTGTCCCCAGTCCCTCTCCAGCTCTCCTGGAGCCCCTCCAGGCCCTGCCAGGGGCTCTGAGCTCTCCTGGGACAGAGGGTGGGGAGATGCTGTCAGCTCCCAGTTCTGCCTGGGACAGATCCCTCCACACATTCCTGGGATTCAGGCAGGGTTTTGTGGAGCCTGACGTCTATGGATCAAATCTCCATGCAGAGGAGGAAGCAGCACGGGAGGTTGTAATTCCTAAGAGGAGAGGGGTCCTTGGCATTAAATTATTTCCTAGGAATGTTTTCCTCCTGGGTAGCAGCCTCATCCCTGCAATCTGGGATGCTCCATCCCAAAACTGCTGCTTCCACGTGTGAATGTGCACGATGGGATCAGCCCCAGCCTGAACTTCCTCCCACCTCCGTGGATGGTCATTCCATGGAGGAGCCGCTCCTTGGGACACAACTGCACAGCAAACCAGGATTCCCAGGGCGAGGCTGAGGAAATCATGGATGCAGGGGAGGGTTTGGAACTGGAGTTTGACCTCTCTGTCCCCTCCCTGCAGGTGGATGCCGACGATGTCATCACCAAGGAGGAGCAGATCTTCCTCCTGCTGAAGGCCAAGGCCAAGTGCGAGCGCCACCTGAAAGCCAAGGTGCCCAAGGTGCACGGTGAGTGCTCCCAAATTCCGGGGCTGGAGCTGGACCCCCCCCTGCTCCTCCCAGCCCTTCCCCCAGCCCCACGTGCTGGGAGCAGGGAGGGAAGGAGGCGCTTGGAGCATCCCAGCGAATCGGTTTTCCAAGATAGTCCATGGGGAGGAGGTTTCGGTGCGAAGAGTTGGAAAGCAAAGCTGTCCCAGACTTGTTCTGCTCTAGAATTCCAAACACCGAGGGTCCAGGAGGATGAAGAAGTTGTGGAATTATAGCCCTGGTTGTTCTAAGGGAGAGCACCAACCACCAGCTCTGCCCGGATCACAGAATTCCAGAATGGGTTGGGTTGGGAGGAACCTTAAACACCCTGTTCCATCCCTCTGGAATGGGCAGGGACACCTCCCACTGTCCCAGGGCACTCCAACCTGACCTTGGACACTTCCAGGGATCCACAACTTCTCTGAGAATTCCATCCCCAATTCCTAATTCCCAATATCCCACCCATCCCTGCCCTGTGGCAGTGGGAGCCATTCCCTGGGTCCTGTCCCTCCATCCTTGTCCCCAGTCCCTCTCCAGCTCTCCTGGAGCCCCTCCAGGCCCTGCCAGGGGCTCTGAGCTCTCCCTGGAGCTTCTCCTCTCCAGGGGAACATTCCCAGCTCTCCCAGCCCGGCTCCAGCCCTGGGATCAGCTCTGGGGCCTCCTCTGGACTTGCTCCAGAGGAAAGCCACTATTCCAAATCCCAAAAATCCTTTGCAATCAGTGACAGAGAAAACAAAACAGCACCCCAAGGCCTTTCTCCTTCCCCACTCTTTCTCCTCGGAAGGGCCCAAGCTCAGCTGAGCCTCTTCCTTCCGTTTCCTTTCTATTTTGGGCTGGAAAATCACTCCCGGCTGTGGGACCGGTGGGGAGGAGGAAGGAGAGAACTCTCTGATGTGGGAGCAGAGCCCTCACCCCCCGCTTTCTCCTTCCCTCGCATTCCCAAGTGTTAATTCCCGAGGGACCCTTCAGTCCCCGGGGTGGGTGTCCTGTCCCACTTCCTCTGTTTCCTGGGAAAACGGGACAAGCCACGATGTTCCTGCACCTCGGCTTTCCCTTCCCTCGCGGTGGGAATTGTCCCCAAACCCAGCTCCACCACCTGCCCTCCCGGTGCCTTTGGAAATGCCAGCAAGGCCCATAAAATCCCAGCTTTCCTTTGATCCCGAGCCTCCTGTTTTCCATCAGCAAACCTCAAGCCACATCCTCTGCTGCTCCTTTGTCCCCTCACCCCGTGCCCAATTAACACCTCGTTAATGAGCACATGTGTGAAGGCATTTCCTGCTGCTGCCCACCTGGTCCTGCCCCTTTTCCAGCTTTTCTGAGGCAGCGCTTGGGATTGATTCCCCCTTCACAGAGGGCAGGGATGGGGATGTGATTGACAGCTGGATTTTGGGCTCTTTCCCAAGGGCAGAGCAAAGGAAGCAGATCCCAGGGATTCGGAGATCCCTGGTTTTGGTTGGAGACCTGGGTCTGGGACTGGAACGAGAAACTTCCAATATCCGATGGTTTGATCCCATGGACCACATCCTGCCCCTGGAAAAAGCTCTCCTGAGCTCCTCAGACCCCCTGCTCCATCCTCTACAGCAAATCCAATCCCAAATAGTCCAAGAGGAGGAATCAGCTGGATTTCAAGGCTTTGGAGACTTCACCCATTAGCAGACGAGAATTAGATCCAATTAATCTGCACCAATCCAAAAGCAGAACAAATTCCCACTCAACCTTTGGAATAGCTTTTGAGCATTTAGCACCCCATAAATTCCCTTTAAGACTTCCCAAACAAGGCAGGGATTTGCCAGACTGCCCCTGAGATGGTTTAAGGAGTTTGTGGTCTCAACAAAGAGTTTTTCAATTTGAAAAAGTTCTTTCCACTTTTCAGAGGAGCTGCAATCCACAGATTTTGGGATTTCAGATGCCCTTGGACACAGGGAGGGCGGTGGGTCTGGTGCTTTCTTCCTTGGATGATCCAGAATTTGGGATGTGGCGTCTGTTTTGGTGATCAGAGACATCCAGACCCGTGCCCTCCTCATCCAGAGGGAGGATCTCATCCCGTTACCTCTTCAGTGACTGCAGATCCCAAAGAAAAATCTGGGAAGTCTTCACCATTATGATGCTCCAGCTCCTGTTCACAGATAGGATTTAAAAGGAAAAATTTCTGATGAAAAGTAGGTTTTGTTTGGAGCAAAATAAATGCTGGATGTGGCTTCCAGTTGACCCATGGTCAAATCCATGATGGGTTTGTCATTCCAAAGGGAAAAGGACAGGCCCACAAAGAGGCAGCAGTTTTGGGGAGATCCTCAGGAAAACACATCCCGCATTTATCCGAGGATGGGATTTCTCCAGCCTTTCTTAGGGAGTTGTTTGTGGTGAGGGATAAGATCCTTGTTCAGCTCTGCTGGAAGGGATCTTCCTAGAGAGCCAGAATCCCTCTGGGATCATCCTGGAGCAACTCCAATCGAGGGCCGACCCTGCCGACAGCCCAGCAGTGTCGGATGTTTGAGAAAGGAGAAAGTTTCCACTTAAAATTCCTGACCCAGCTTGAGGACTTGAGGGGGATCTCTCCTGGGAAACTCCTCGCCACAGGGGTCGTAGGAAAAGAGTCTTTGACCCCATTCCAGAAAGTGGGAACATGTCCCAGCTGGCAGGGTCGATATTCCAAAGAAAATTCTTAGGGAACAAAAAAGTTAAAACCCTCTAAAATTTCAGACTTTCTTCAGCCAGTGTTTATGTGTAAAAACTCCAAATTCCATTTTTTTTCACCCCCTAAACAGGTTAAAATTCTGTTTTATGGGAGGATGAGGTCCCTCCTCTCCTCCTGGAGGGCTCACAGGGATCCTCTGGCCCCCGGTCGCCTCCCAGGTGTCTCTGAGCCCTGCTCCTGATCCATGTGGCTCCCACATGGATCTGTGCCACGGGGAGCCGAGGCTGAGCTGCTCCAGGAGCTTCCAAAGAGGATTCGTGCGTCATCTCCACCTTTGGCTGAGGCACTGAGGGCTGGAGACCCAAAATACAAAACCAAAAAAACCCCAAAACCCTTCCCCCACAAGCATTTGGTTTCCTCCTTTTCTCTTTTTTTCACCCCCCCCCTCCACTTTTTTTCCTTAAATTTAGTCTCCAGATGAAAGCCTTTGGGAAAGAACAGGAAACCCGAAAATTTCTCTTCTCCCGACACAAATATTCCATCCCAGCCCTGGTGGGCAGCTGATGCCACCCCAAAGTTAAACCTGGAAGGGGATGAAGTGAAATTCCCAGCCCTGAGCCATCAGACCTGACTTTTTCTTTTTTTTTTTTTTTTTTTTTAAATCCATGAATTAAAAGCTTGTCTTTGCCTGGTTTGGAAAAGGAGATGGGACATTTTGTGGGGAAAGAAGAGGGAGTTTTGCACAACCCTGTCATTAGCAAAGGCCATGGCCAACCCTTGCGCTGAGCCCGAGGTGTTGCAGCTCCAAACTGTGTTGTTTTTTTACTAAATAAACCTGTTTTCCCAGGAAAGGTGTTATTTTTAGTTGGGAATCTGGGTCTATTTACCTGGGTTGTGCATCCCAGTTTGGTTTCACTGTCCCTAAAAGACCTAGAGCTGATTCCAGGCACTTGCTTGCCTCGAGAACCCCCAAAATCTGCTCCTGGTTTCCTCTCCAGAGGGTCCAGCACCATTCCCTGATGCCAGGAGCTCCCAGAGGTTGGGAGAAGCCTCAGGCACCTCAGAAATTAAGGGAGACAGAGGCATCCTAAGGTCTAAACACCCCAGTCCTCTACAAATCCATAATTTCTCCAGCTATTTCCATCTTCTCCCAGTTTCTCTTCTCAGTCCTTGCAGATGTGGCCCAAATTCCACAAAAAAAAACCCTAACCATTCCTTGTGAACATATTCCCAGCACAGTTTTGGCTTGGAAGAGCTGCCACTGCCCCAGTGGACACCAGCTGGGGGGGTTCAACATGGACCAAGAGACTTTTTAGCATGGAATTATGGACTGGGAGATCTTCCAGGATGGAACTGTGGACAGGGAGAGCTTCTAGGATGGAATTATGGACCAGGAGTGCTTCTAGGATGGAATTACGGAGCGGGATAGCTTCCAGGATGGAATTATGGACAGGAAGAGTTTCTAGGATGGAATTATGGACTGGGAGAGTTTCCAGGATGGAATTGTGGACTAGGAGAGTGGCTAGGATGGAATTATGGACCAGGAGAGCTTCTAGGATGGAGTTTTGGATTGGGAGAGCTTCTAAAATGGAATTATGGACTAGGAGAGTGTTTAAGATGCAATTATGGACTGGAAGAGTGTCTAGGATGGAATTGTGGACCAGGAGAGCTTCTAGGATGGAGTTATGGATTGGGAGAGTGTTTAGGATGGAATTATGGACCAGGAGAGTTTCTAGGATGGAATTATGGACCAGGATAGTATCTAGGATGGAATTATGGATCGGGAGACCTCTGAGGATGGAATCACAGACCAAACTGCTCTTCTGGAGTGTGAGAGAGTTCAGAGTCACCGATATGAACCGTGATGGACTTAAAGGAGCTGAAACTGGGATGCGGCTTCTACCTACAAAGCTTTATGAGCCAGGGGCTCCCAGTCCTATTGAGGAATGTCCACAGGGCTTGGAACTCATGGGAGGAACGGATCTCAGGGATTACGAGAGGCACAAGTGGTCTGCAGTTTAGATTTGTAAAGGAACACAGAGAAAGGTTGGAAAACATTCCAAAGGGTGGCTGAACTCTAATGCTAATTATCAACCTTGTTTTAATGGTTGATGGGAGCGACAGTTTTCCCGCTCAGAGGCAGGCTGGAGGGGTTTGGAAGGACTGGATCTGCTGGAATGAGGAAAGAACGGGATGTGCCAGCAGTGGCAGGTAGGGAGTTCCCGATGGGATGTTGGAGGTTGAGTTTCAGCTCCTGGGTTGGGAAGTTGGGGCTGGGTGGGCAGTGTCCAGCTGGAACTGGCTGGTGAGGTCAGGAAGGTGTTTCCAGAGCTGGGTCATGGAATTGTCTGGTGGCCTTGGGACTGGGGTGAGCCAAGACATGTTGTGACGTGGAACAGCTCCTGGCCCCTGTGTCCATCCCTCCAATATCTGTTTCCTCCAGGGATGAGCATGGAAGGGGTGTTCTGTCCATGAGACACTGGGTGAAGAGCAGGAAAGGTCTTTGAGCAGTGACAGACAGAAGCTGCATCCACCTATGGCCATGGAACCCCTGGAGCAGGTCCAATGGGGCTGAGGAAGGGCCTGGAACATCTCAGTGCCCAGGAAAGGCTGAGGGAGCTGGGGCTGCTCAGCCTGGAGAGAGCCCCAGTGAGAGGGGCCTGAGCCCTGGGTGTCCCTGGGTGTCCCTGGGTGTACCTGGGTATCTCTGAGTGTCCCTGGATGTTCACTGGGTGTCCCTGTCTGTCCCTGGGTGTCCCTGGGTGTCCCTGGTTGTCCTGGATGTTCACTGTGTGTCCCTGGATGTTCACTGGGTGTCCCTGTGTGTCCCTGGATGTTCACTGGCTGTCCCTGTGTGTCCCTGGATGTTCACTGGCTGTCCCTGGCTGTCCCTGGATGTTCACTGGCTGTCCCTGTGTGTCCCTGGATGTTCACTGGCTGTCCCTGGCTG